CCAGCATGGCTGGCTGGGGAATTCTGGGAGTTGAAGTCCACTCATCTTAAAGTGGCCAAGTTTGGACAACAATGCCCTAGAGGAAAAGTGTTGAGCTGATAGGATTCCAGACAGTTGGTTTGTTTGAAGTCCCTGTTGGACGTGCAGTTGCCACACTTCAGCATTCCTGGAATAGGGACTCACATGAGATGTTCAGATGTGGCAGTGTTCCCATGACAAGTTTTTCTATGGTTAACTGAATTATGGCTCACTTGTTATGGCTTGACATCACACACCAAACCATAAGCTAACCACATTAATTTCATTAAAACAAAACTCTTGGCTAAAATGCGGCTGTTTTATGGTTCAGTGCTTTGTGCAAACAGCATATGAAGTTAAGGGGGGAAATAAGTGCATGTCGGGTTTCTTAGAAAAGGGGGGAAAATCAAGTATGTGTGCAAATCATTTTGCACCTAAAAAACCCTTTTTATCACTTCGAATGTTTCATTCAGATGAGTGAAAATGCGTGGACCTTCCCGAGGCTACTTTGCGCGTCTCCGTTGGGAAAATGGTACAAAAGGAACCGCGACCATTCAGGGAAGGGAGCGACATTGTTTGGATCAGTGTTTTTCAAACTCGGCAACTTTAAGAAGTGTGGACTTATAGGGAATTCTGGGAATTGAAGTCCACACATCTTAAAGTTGCCGATTTTGAAAAACCCTGATTTGGATCAACCTCTTCCTCCTCCTCCCGCGAAGATCCGCGGTACGCGCAACGGGGCACGCCCCTCGTTCTCCTTTCCAGGCGCCTCTCCTCGGACCTTCCGTAGCAGAAGCTGCCGCTTTGCAACTCACGTGACAGTCAACCCGTGATCTCGGAGCGGGCGGTGCTTCTCTCCCCTCGGCTGGCGGCAAGAACGGGCTCTTTATGCCGTCGTTTTGCGTTTGGAGGCGTGGGGGTGGTGGTGAGGGTGCTTTGCTCCTATGAGCACTTTTCGGGGAAAGCCCCTGCCCTTGTTCCGGCTTTCCAAGGCGGGCATCACCAGCGACGCGAAGCATCTTGATTCGCAGGGCGGGTAAACACCCGGTGGCGTTTTTCTTTAAAAACGGGTTTATTGGTTTCCCGGCTTCTTGCTTGAGATATTTAAAAGAGTAGCTGTATATCTTCTCGCACGAGGAATCGGGGTGAATCGGACTCAGCCTGCAACCTTGTGTACTGGTTTGGGAATAAGCGCCATTGAATACAGCGGACCTTGCTTTAGACTGAATTAAGGGCAGTACTGCGTACTTGCCTTTTGGGCATTTGCAGCGGTGGGAATTAATAGGTGCTTTGTATCATTCTTGTGCCTGGTCTTATGGCTCCATCCCAAGGCTTAGGTCTGCCTCCTGCGAATAAGTAACAGGCTGTTATGATTAGTGATGTGGATAAACCTGTGAGACATTTGATGCCTGAAGGACTACGGTAATGTTGGTCCTCATCTAGAACTCCCATTTTTTGTTTTCTCTCTCTACAGATTTGTATTATAATACCATGGTAGATAGTGGAGAGGTCCTTAGTACTGGGCAAATTCCAGCACTGGGTAGATTTGGCCCAATCTAGGAATTGTATGTCCTACAAGTGTCCATAAATCCTCATACCTGGATTGTTACAGGTAAGGAATTATAGGGCAAAGATAGCCTCTTGAGCTCTCCATGGAAGAAACTCAAACGAGAAGGTTGCTGCGTAGGAGGGAAGCGGGAAGCCTTTCATGGCCTTTTGAAGATGTTTTGGTCCTGGAGGGTGAACATTGGGGGGGTGGGAGAGGGGGCAGAGTGCTAGCAAATTGAAGAGGCAAACAAAGCCTTCAGTAACTGTTGTTTATGTATTTATTTCCATTATTCCAAAATATCTTGAAGTAGTAGTTCCCAATGAAGGCATCTGTTAGAAAGATGACGCCTTAGTGGTACAGAGAAGTGTTTCTCAACTTTGGGAACTTTAAGATGTGTGGACTTCAACTCCCAGAATTCCCTAGCCGGCCATGCCCGTATTAGATGGGTGAAGACTGATCTAGTTGTTTACAACTGGCTAGACTGATAGTTGGATTGTACCAGTCTTGTACTCTGTTTAATCTACAAAGCTGCAGCTTTCTAACTGTATGTTTAAACATAGATTGGAATCCAGAAATCAAAATACACAAGGATTGGGAAAAGATGTTTTCTGTATAATTCTCTAAGCTATTTTGTCTACTTGTTCAAGAAACATTTCTGGTGTAAAAGCTGTAAGTATCAAACATCTGTTAAATTTAATGATATATAAATGTGGCAGGAAAAAAATGTAGCAGAATGTAAAACTCAGTTGCTGTTTAAGAGCTCACAGATAACAGTTCTATATCCCAGCAATAATAGTTATTTATTTTCTACAGGGGATACTTGCAGAAGGGCTTCAGTCTAATAGCATAACACAGGAGGCAGTTCTCTAGAAATTTTAGTTGTGGGTGTTCTCGGTTAATATAGCAACTTGAACTCAGGTAATAGATAGGAAGCCTATGAAAATATCTAAGGAAATATAGTCCCAGTCAGTAACCTTACATTTTTTAATGCTTACCATTTATTGACGTACCATAAATAAAACTGTTGAGTAATCATGCCACGTGACCCAAGCAAGGATAACTGATGAAATCATCCTTTGGCAGGTTTTGTGAGTCCAAAAGGAAGTGCAAAAATTTGAGAATATATAATGCCTATTGCACGACATTTAATATGCACATTTTAAAACGTATTTGCACAACAGACTAACCTAATTTGTGATTAGCTCTAGCATGTATGAACCTGGAGAATGCATTAGAATTACTTATCTTACCTGTGGCTCTCTGCGTTATTCCCCCCCTCCCTAGAATTCTGTTCCTCTGGTGGTTTGCCTGGCCCTGGCCTGAGTACCTGGTTCTGAAACAGGCTGGAGGGCTGGGTGATTTGTAATCCTGACTGATGGATCCAGTTTAATTGTATTTTTTTCTCCAAAGCTCTGTATTTATGAGTGTAGTTTTATATTGTGTTTTTGTGCTGTTTTAATTTTGTATACTTCCTACAGTCTTTGGATTTGGTGGCCTATACATCTAAATCAAAAGAAAGAAATGATTACAGCCAAAGGCCAGCAGCAATAATAAATAAATAAACAAACCCTGAAAAGGAGGGTTAAGCTGAGACTGGAACAACCAGAAAATAAAGCTGTCTAGCTCCAACCATCTCTTCTTTTCCATGTCCTCCTTTTTTCACACATGTGCTTGTAACTGCAAGTTATTGAAATGGGGACGCAATGGAGTGGGGAGATACTTAGCCTTTCTCCCTCCCATCTGTGGTAGCTCTGAGTGTCATTGCATGGTTTTATTTTGTAAAATAAAGTATTAGCTGGCCAGCCACGACAAAGATGAGCCAGTATGGTTTTTAACTAATACACCAAAGATAGTTTCAGAATTTGCTGTGTCTGCTGCCAGACCAATTATTATCTGTGCTTCACCAGATGTGGCTGATATGTGTCACTGTCTTAAAGAGGAATATTAGGCTGCATGGAACTATTAACTCAATTGCCAAAGTTTAATTCCAAGTTTCCCTGTTGTACAAGTTGTTCCCTTTCTTCTTGAATTAACAGAAATGAGTTCCTCTGGGGCAGTAAAGAGGAGAATCCTTCCAGCATGGATGAGCAAGAAGACAGTTGAACCAGCACAATGGGCAGAAATGAGGTCAAAGAGAAGGAAAAGGACAGCTTTAGCAAGGTATGCTGCCTGCCTGTTTCTTAAAAATCAGAATGAGTTCTAAACTTCCCTTTCCACCCCCCAAATAGCCAAATAATAAGGGGGGGGGGAGCTGGTTGTGTGACGTGTGTAGAACTACTGATTGATAGAGTATGTGCCATCAAATCAGTGTCAACTGTTATGGATCACATAGATAGATTTTCTCCAAGATTGTAGAACTATAGCATTCTTCTATTTCATCTTCATCTTCCTATTTTTATATCCTTAAATAGTCAAATACATGTATCTGCACACACACATCCAAAATAAGTCTGTAGAATCAGTTTGTGACTAATTAAAAACATATTCTCTATGGTTTCACTCTTCACAGAATATGTCATCCCAAATGGTTAACTCATATAAAATCTTGAAAGTTTAGCTGTGAGAAACCATATTTTGGATTTAGTTAAAGTTAAATTAGGATTAAATGTTAAAAAGCTTTCCCTCTACAGTTCTAAGAGTAGGAAACATTTTTTACACAAGAGCCACAATTTTTGTTATACAGTACAGAGATTGTGGGAGTCAGATAACACAAGAATAAAGGCAGATCATGGTGAAGAACTGTTTGGGATATAGGAAAGAGCCTTAAAATTTTTGAGATGGTCCTTGCTATTTTTCCTGACTCCAGGGCTAGCTAAAAATAGATGTATAAGGCCACAAAGAGAATTTGGGAAGGCTTAATGTGCACTTTCTAATACCTGTTTATTGCCTATAAACTGATTTTTACTGGGTTTAGTTTTTGGTCTTCCCACTACTTGCTTCAGAATATGATTTTCTTTTGCAGGACTGAGACTGTATATTGTATGAACGAAGCAGAGTTGGTAGACACGGCTCTTTGCATTTTAGCTGAGGTGAGCAATGCAAAAGATGTTACCCAAGAAGCAGCTTCTTGCTTTTTCCACCCTGTTGCCTGCAATTATGGTGGCTGCAGCTTTTCTGTTAATTTTTGCCAGAACATCTTGCTCTCTGAGAGTGGAAAAAAAGAACTGGGCCTAAATACAGTCATTTGTACTTGGTGATCTACTTCTATAATAAGTTCAAGGACACTCAGGGGCATTTCTTTGACCATACAGATTTATTTATAATTTTACAAAACAGGGCTATATTGTGGATATTCTCCCAGGCATCAAGCATCTCACTTGTCCTGATTTAGGGAGCGAAGAGAGAAAGTGCTATAGTTGATTGTGAGGAAACTTGGTGTCTTGGTCCAAACATGAAGGAAAATATGATTGTTTCCTTTGTTAGAACTGCAAGGCTACAGGAGGTGATGTGATTTCTTCAGAAGATGAAGGACAGGAGCTTCAACAAGAACTGACAGATGGTCACCATTCAAGGAGTGCTACCAACATTGCCAAGGATCCTCCTGTAAGATCCACACCTCCAGATGAGTTAGCTTCTTTAAGTTGCGGTGAGGAGACCAAACTGGAGGAAGACGATGATGCCTTAAAATACGTCAGGGAGATCTTCTTTACTTAATTTTACAATTTGTAAACAACATACATTTTTTTTAAATTGATAAATAAAATATATAGATACAACAATTGTGGCTTGGATATCAGAGGTAAGGCAACGATACATCACAATGTCAGGACTTCAGGAAATAAATTGATCAGGAGGAGAAACTGTGTGCAAATCTGTGTTTGTAATTGGGGATTTAATGGGGGGATAGATTGGGGAAAAGGATGGAGGAAACTCCTGTTGGGTTCCCTGATGTGATAAGCACTTTTTTTTTTTTGCTTGACTCGGAAGACTTGAATTCTATAGTTCTTACTTTTCTTTACGCTGGCCACCTTCATACTAAATTAAGTGCTATAATTTGTTTAATCATAGTTCAATGCATCAGTTGTAATTGCCTAGATTTATACTAGCTTACAAACAATGTATTCTAATATATGTCAGAAATGGAAAAAGTATAGAAATACTACATAGAAGAAAGTTTCCCTTTAAGTTATGCTGTTTTACAAATGGAACTCTGACACATCTGGTAATAATTAAGATGATTTCACTTACTTTACAAATTACTTTGTTTCTGGCAGAAAGTCAGTTGACAAAATATGAACCACCATACGCTAGTAAAAACAGATACAAAAATCAGTTTTCATTAAAAAGCTCATAGTGTTGTTCACATACAATTAGTGCCCTGGGGAAGGAAAGACTTCCCATTTATGAGTTAGCAGCAATACATCAGTATGTAAATAACCTTATCATTGTTTTTAGTCACCAAGTATATGCATATTAACAATATTAAGAGAGATCTGTACCTGTAATACTTGTGAAGACATAAGTCTTCTATGATGCTACTTTCCACAAAGGTATGTCCTCCAGATGTGTTAGGATTCAACTAACAGAATCCTTTTCAGCAATGGAAATTCTTGAAGCTGAGTCTCAACACATCTCAAAACACATTAGGGAAAGCTCTTCTAGTACTTGGACATCTATTTCAGCCTGTACTGAGATTTGATTTCAAGTTCCATCATTGTGTGTAAATGACCTAGGAAGGGTGGGGAAGAGATGCTGCCTAGGGAATGACGAGATAAAAGGGGGAGGAGCCTGCAACTGAGCAATGGGCAGAGAAAGAAACTTAGAAAGGACCTGCCCTAACTGATCAGGAGGTAAAAAGGGATGGCAGGAGATTTGTAGTTTCAGATTGTAAGATTCTGTTAATGTAGCCTAACAATAAAGTAGAAGTAGCAGATCTGGTTGTGTTTCCTGTCTGGTTTACCTGGGAGGGCTGACATTCTGGGAATGGCAGCAACAGCTATAGAATAGAAGCAAGTTACAGAAATTCTAGTGGGTCAAGCTTCACCACCTAATTTCTTTGTCTGTTAAAAGCCAGAAAAACAACAAAATTACACAACTGGATCAATTATGAGACATTTCAAAGCCTTCATTATAGAATTTGTGAAGAATGTAGTGATATGCAGAATAAATATGAAATATTAGGATAGTAGCAATAAGCAGTGCCTGCAAGCATTCTGCACAAGGATCTTTCTCCTTTTATAGCCAGTATTTGCTGGAACTTACTTGTGCTTCAGAATGGAGAAGAGAAGCAGCCACACAAGTCCCTCTTCCATGCAACGGCGCACTGGATATTCTGTTGATCTCAGAATGTGTGGGGACATGTAGGCAGGGGAAAAGATCTGGTTTTCAAGGCAAGCCAACATTCACAGAACCGCATAGATTCAATTAATGTCTCAAACAATACGAGAATTCCCAAGTTAGCTCCCAAGGAAAGTTTCAATACTAGGAAGCAGTAGCTGACTACTCTTGTCTTGAAAGAGGAGTGTGCAATTTCTGTCAGCTTACAGGCCATACCATGCTTTGTACAGCAAGGGCTGTGTTCCAAAAATAGAAGAGACTAAACCCCATTGTGGAAGGAGGCCTGAGGGATTTTATGGAGGCTCAATACTTAATGTACTCCTTTTTGCCTTACTGTAATCCTTTCCCCAAACCAAAAGAAAATGCTTAAATCTAAGTGTGGTTCCTCTTCAGAGGGCAACAGTTGATTTTCCAGCCCTTGAAATAGGGGAGACTATGCATAAGTATATGTGTTAAAAGTGTTACCTCTCTTCCAGTTCACTCATATTAGAGAGCATTCCCTGAATTCAATTCATTCAGGCCTTGGAAGGTATTTTTGCACTGGTCCCCCCACTCAATTCACCACAGTGTTTGTTATATTCAGATGTTGCCTCACATTGGCTGTGTTTGCCAAACATGTTATTCCATATTCAACTTGGCCATGATTTATTTAATCTTCTGGGTTCATCCAGTACACCAAACTATAAACAAACAACAGAGGCTGGAGTTGCATGATGAATTCTTGTGGTCTATTTTGCCATTCAGTGTGAAGAAAAATTCTCATGGAAGGCTCTATATAGGAGTAAACTGTCTCTCAGGAAGAGTCTCTTTGAACTTTGCAAGGTAGAGGATAATTATGAGCAGGTGGAGGAGAAGTAAAATATAAGCCCCAACAAGGGCTGCAAAACCCTTACTGAGTTCAGAGACTTGAATCCATCTCTGATTGGGAAAGATAAACAAAGCAAGACCAAGAGGCAAACTCAAACTGCTGACAGACAGAAGAATCCGAGCCAGTTTCCATCCGTCTCTGTCTTTGAAGCATAGGGCCTGCTGCACGACTGTAGTTGCAGCGAAGAGGCACAAAACCAGGCTGATGTATACACAGACTCTCGACAGCACCATTGCAACCTTGCTGATCCCTAACTTCTCCAAGTCTCTGATCATGAGGCAATCCAGTTCTGCTTTCTGATTCCACAAGCAAAAATTGTAGAAGCCAATTCTTTTGGTGGGAAGGTTGATGATATTCCCAGCTTCCCAGACAAGGGCATAAAATAGCAAAGCATTACAGCCAAAAGCAAGGGAGAGATTACTCAGATACAAGAGGCAGGAGCTCGACTCTCTTAACCCTTTAATGAACTCAACAATGGTTCGTTGGAATTTCAGCTGCATTTTCCACTTGAATACCTGGCAGAAGAAAGTAAATAGTCAGGTTTGGTTTCTAGGAATTAGGTCTCCACTTCATCACATACTTCCTGAGTATCTTAGGCACCAGTAAATAAGCAGGTAAGAAACAAGAAAGGTTAAAAATTAGGATAGGAAGAAAGAGCATTATGACCTAAACAGGAAACAGAATAATAGTGCTTGTGGAGGGCTGAGGTTGAAAAACAGTGGGGGACAGAAGGAAGCTGGAGAAAAAGTAAAGAAGATTTGGCAAAATGAGATTGCCAGGACACAGGAAAAGGCAAGGAGGAGTCTGGAGAAGCTGGCTCAAGTAAGAGTGAGATAGTAGTGTACGGAGGGCTTGAAAAACACAAAAGCAGCACCCCATATATAAAGGGCCTATTCACAGCCCCAGCTGTCACACTCTAATGAAAACAGCAACTCACTCTCTTCCTACAAGTCAACTAAGGCTTTTCAGGCATGGAGGAAAGAAAAGAAGCTGTAGTGAGGGGAAACTCAATCCCAGTCTTTGGTGCAACGTGCCCTGAAGGCAGATAAACCAAATGGTTCTTGGGAGCTTTAAGCAGACATGCTCAGTGGCATCTCTGCCGGCAACTGCCAAATCTTAACAGTCCTCCATTCAAACACAAGTCTGAACCGTCCACGGCCGCTTCAAGGAACGATCGTGGCATGGTAGTAGAACAGCTACGTCGGAATGCGTGGAAGGAGAGCCGGAAGAGCGTCCAAAGGCACGCGGGTCCCTCTTCAGCCGTTTCCCCCTGTCTGAGAAAGCAGCCATCCCCAGCAGGGCACCCTTGCTCTTCAGAGACTGGGACAGCTCGCAGACGACACGCAGTTCAATCCCTCCGCGGGGCATCAGAGGGCGGAAGGCTGGGCGTGAGATCTCCTCGGCGAGCCTTCTGACCTTGCGACCTGGGCGCACCTGCACCGCTGCTTTCGTTTGCGATACCCGCCGCCGAACCCAACTCAACGGGAAAACCCGCAGGGCCTCCGTTCTCTTCCCAGAGCCAGGAAGGCATCGGAGGCCGGGGCTTCCAGATACTCAAAACTACCGCCAAATAATCGAGAAAAATTACAGACTGAGTTTGCATATCCCTAACCCCGTATTACGGTGTCCCTACACCACGCGAACGCTTAAATTAGCCAGGAATAGTAATAGTGATAATAATGGTTACTTACTTGCTTGCCGACGCCGCCGAAGGCGTTAAACCCCACCGCGGGACGCGATCCTCCTCAGCGGTCGGGCTCGCTTTCACTCTTGTTTACAGCTTGGGCCGTTTTGCTCCTCAGATCACGCGCGGCGCCGTCAGCAGATTTCCTTTCCCTTTCGTTTTCATCCGATTTTTCCGCACTCACGTGTTTTCCTGCTAGCGGTTGCGGTTGGTCGTCCCGTGGTGGTTCTCTTCCATCTTTTCACGAAATCCAATCGATCTTTCAGAAGCTGCCGCTTGACATTTTCTTGTATTTATGCTTTTTAAATATTCCTGTCACCGTTTAGGCACACCTCTGGAGGGCTCATAGAATTATGAGTACTATAATGGTGGTGAATTCATATCAACATATCATTAGAACATGCACGCTTTGTTGCAAAACAGACATGATCGCCCGGTTGTTTGAGGCCCTTTTATTTCGTCGTTCCCGGCTTCCGCAATACAGTACACAAAGGGCCAACGACTCAAAGTTCAGAGCTGGCCATGTGTATACTTCAACTCCCAGAATTCCTTAGCCAGCATGAGGTTGAAGTCCACAGATCTTAAAGGTTGCTGAGGTTGGGAACGCTGGTCTAGACGAGCCTTTTTAAAACGGCCCCGCTAAGCCAGGCGGTGGAGTTTTCCCCGCGTGACGCTCTTTCCAGGAGACAGATGGTTGCGATTGGGATGCAGCGCGCCATCGCAACTATCACATTGCAGTTCTTAAAGATTTCCTCTTAGAAGCAGAACAGGCACCCGCCTGCAAACACCAACAGCAAGAGAACAGAAAGACGTATGAAGTAAGTGTTGTGCCTTCATGCACGTACGTGGAAGCGTGATGCAATGCACAAAATACATACAGCACATTATTTCCAGGCAGTGATTATTGAACTGCCAATTGTAGGCTTTTTTGTTCCTTCTTCTTGCTCGGCTTCCTATCGGGGTGTTTTTAAGTAGCCCAATTAGAATAAACCACCTGATTTTTCAAGCTTCATCAGAACATAGCCATATTTAATTTCATTGCCATCTTATTGCTGAGGGATCCTTGCACATAAGATCTGAAAAAGTTACCAAATTCTAAAAGTGATCCATTCATACACCCTAATTTAGGTGTACAAGTAGTCCTCACTTACCGACCACAATTGGGACTGGCAACTCCATTGCTAAGCAACACGGTCATAAAGTGAAATGTTATGTGACAGCGCTGACTTACATCAGTTCCAGCTGTGGTCATTAAGTGAATTAATCACAGTTGTTAAGCATGATGTCAGGTGACCATGACTTGTATCTTCCTGCCAGCTTCCCCACTGACTTTGCTTGTCAGAAGCTGGCTGTGAAGGTTGCAAATGGTTATCACATGACTGTGGGGACATTGCAATGGCTGTAACTTCAAGGACTGGTCATAAATCTTTTTCTGCACTGATGTAAGTTCAGTCACTGAATAAGCAGTCAGTGAGCAAGGACTACCTGTACCTTTCTTATTGTAGGTATGATGTCCACCCAGTGTAGAGACACCTGGTAAGATGAAATCTTGGTGTACTTTATATGTGGATGCGAGCAACTTCATGGTGATGTTGTGTGTGTGGGTACAGAAACGGAAATGGGATATGTTAGTATTGGTTTTCCCTCCCACCATCTAACTTTCTAGATTTCAAATTAAAAAGCCTAGGTAAAAGCTATGTGCAAGTTCACTTATAATGCAGAATTAGGCTATAATCTCCATTCATTTTAAACTACATGTTCTATATTACTATTGATCATTCTGACTGAGGCATATAGACTATTTTATCCAAAACATCTGGAGGAGTTCAAGGTTATTATCATCCTAATTTCTGATCTCAGAGCTGCAAGCCAGTATACACTTACCTGGAGTAAACATTAATTTTATATGGATACTTTGACTCAGACATAACAACATTTTGTTATACAGATCACACAGTTGCAGTGGATCTTATAGGCTATTTAATCCAATATTTTACTTAATACAGGAAATGGAAAATCTAATTAGAATATCTTAAATGTTATCCAAGCCTGTGCTTGAAGGTAACTATCAAGAACATATCACCCTCACATAACTGGTTTCATGGTCAAACTATTACTTGCATTAATTCTATTACAATGTTTAACTGAAATTTATTCTGTAAATTAAGTTCATTATATCTAATCCTGCATTCTGATACATTAAAGAATATATTTCCCTTCTGGTATGTGACAGCTCTTCAAGTATTTAAGAGAAATGGGTAAGATTATCCATTTCTATACTCTCCTAGTTTTTTTTTTAAATTTGATTAGAACTGCTTTTGGAAATTAAAGGGAAAAAAAACCTGAAGTAGCATCCTGTTCAGACAAAAATACTTAAGATTTTTCAAATTTTTATATTTTTAATTAGAACTCTTCTAGCCTATAGGCATAATCTGTTGATCCACTCCAGCAGGAAATAAGTGATGAATTGTTCCATACATACTGTTCCTCCTCATTCAAGCCTCTTTTATTATCTATTTTTTTCCCTTTTTCTCTGCAGAGTAATGCAGAGTTATTTACCTTTTAAAGAGAGAAAGAAAAAAAAATCATTAGTGCTCCAGTGGGAAGAGATAGTGAGTAAATTTAGAGAGGGAATTCAAGTGAACATTAACAAACTGTTACTGATCCTAGCGAGGATCAGTAGGAAGGAATAAAATGGGCTTACCAATAGTCAGTATCCTTTTCACTGAAAATTCCAGGATCCATTGCTGAACTAAACTCAGTTGTACATAAACACTCTAGGAGGATCTTGGCTATGCAGAAGCCCTTGGTTGGATACTAGAAGTTTACTCAAGTGCTGAATGGAGTTTCCATTTTTTTTCTAACTCCAGGTAATTGTGGAAAAATAATTCCTTAGCAGATTATAAAAATTAAAAAATCTACTTTATAAGCAACCTAACATACTATAAATGTATTGGAACATAAGTTTTCATGGATGGGAAGTCAGTTCAGTGGTTCCATCAGCTGGCAGGTACACATAATTATTGAATATACTTGGAAATTACCAAGCATCACCAAAAACTTTTGTGGGGTGTCTTCAAATATAAAATTGGTCACATGGCAGTTATTTGTGGATGTAATGTAACTAGGCTGGAGTTCGTTGGAAATGGGGAGTAGCTAATTATAAGAATTGTCTCTTTCAACACACTTATATATAGTGATGTATATTTTGCCTCTTCATAAGAAACATGGAGTGAATGACAGCAGGACCAAACTGTCAAAATAACCTTATTTCCTCTATTGCAATTCTTATCCTTTAAGACAATCCCCAAAGAGAAACCATTCAAGTTTATACTTTTTTTTCTTTCAGATTCAACACCTCATGGAATAAAAATCCTACCCTTGTCTAATAAGAGTCAGCATTGAGAAACTTTATCTCATTTTTTCCAGATCATTTTGTTGTAATGTATTAGAAGCAAGCTGAAATCCAGAAATGAATGATTCAACTTGCTTCCCTGTGCAATTTGCTAACAATAAAAATAAATAAATCCGATCATATTTTAGTTTTGTTTATATTGGTCACAGCAGCCCCACAAGATGTTCTAATTTATTTGGATCCAATAGTCCAATCCTGTGAAAGTGCAACTGCTCTGCCTGCAATGTCCTCCCAGGCAATGTTCAAAGAGCTAAAGCAATACCCTCTGATGGCATCACTACTGGATACTCTTTTGTGGCTTATGAAATGGCACAAAAGAAACTGCATCTCGTCCTATGCATGAAAAGAAATCCTCTCAGTTGTATTTGGAAGGTCTTGCAATGAAGAACTGTCACTTTTATGTCTCTTAGAAAAAAATTCGCTTTCACTCTGGAACAGCAAGTTTCTTGTTGGCATTTTTGGCCTGCTTTGTAGTAGAGGACTGGAAGCTTCATCATCCTCAGAATGTTTCAGCAAAATTGTTTTGTTGGGCCCTTTTGTAGTCAGTAAGGTAGCCAAGCGTGGTCTGCACAAATAAGCAAAATAAATTAATTTTAAAGACAAAACCTCAAAATTATTATAGTAATTATATAGCTACTACATGGTTCATAACTTGCTTCTTGATAATCCAGGTTGCCCACATCCACAACAGAGGCCATCCTTTCAGTGAACCAGGATGTAAAACTTTAGAAGATCACTGGAAGCTACTTACTGAGAAAAAGTACAAAATGCTATATATAAGGCTAAATACGACTTAATATTTTTAGCCTTATATACAGCATTTTGTACTTTTTCTCTTATTCTTTTTCCTGACTTTAGCTGCTACCACATTTATTTTTATTTATTTATTTATTATTAAATTTGTATGCCGCCCATCTCGCCAATGGGCGACTCTGAACATCCCTTGTTTGGTGAATTCAGAACGCTCCTTCATATTATTTGCAAAAAAGTTTAATTGAAACTCACTTCAGCAAAGTAATTCTTGAACTGGAATTGTATTGTTTTGCAGAGTCTTCTGTTTTAACCTATTTCTGCCCATTGTTACATACACTTGATTTTCTCATAAAAAACAGGAATCAGAAGACAATTTTGGAAGGAAGAATTAAAAGTCAGGCTGATTAGATAGTACTTTTTACTTACCGGTGGCGACCTAATGATTTTAGATGTCGTTCACTCCTTGAATATTTTTCAGGAGGTTGTCTGTATTTTCCCTCAGACATCAAAGGAAGGGAGAGTTGTAGCAAATCTTGTGTAACAGAAGACCTGTTCAGTTTAAGACCTTCACAGTTCCTTCCACTATTTATGATAGTTTTAGCATTCCTTGCTGGTGACAATTCCTTTACTTTACTTTCCGTTCCAGCTAAACTGCTTTTTTGTGCATCGGGAAAACCTGTCATCAAAAATAAGTAAATTTGAAATAATTCCAGGGATCAATTTATACACTACTCAACAATTAATTTACATGATGAATTTTTACTATGACATATTAATAAATTCACCTTAGCATATCCTACATAAGAAAAATCATCTCCCACTCTGCACTACCCCTTTCAGATGTTGTGGTCATGCAAGTGTAGATCACATGAGATCATGTGTCACAGCTGTTGCATGACTCACACTGCTTCCAGTAGGCTTCCAGGTGGAATCCAAGGTGGTGGTCATAACCTTTAAAGCCCTAAAGGGATCACCTATCTCCAGGTCTGCCCATCCCACCATATCCAATAGGGGTGTGTGCTTCGGGTCCTTTCTTTGAAACTGCCATATTGTGGAACCCAAGGCAGGAGACATGTCTTCTCTGTTGTGGCACCTGCTATGGAACAGCCTTCTCCCTGAGATCCATATGGCCCCAACCCTTCCAGAAGGCTGTGAAAACCTGGCTTTTCCTTCAGGCATTAGGGCCAGGCTGTTAGTGGATCCTGATACGCAGGTTTTGGAGGCTGTAAGTTGATTATGAGATGCCTCAGCTCTTGTATTCTATTATGATTACTTTTAATTGTATGTTTTATTCTGTTATTCTGTTGTTTTTTGTATTCTGGCTAGCAATCCAGTGTAATTTGTTTAAATTATATGACCATATGGAAGGGAAGGGAAGGGAAGGGAAGGGAAGGGAAGGGAAGGGGGATCCCTGTACTGTCCACAAGTTCAGCTCAGTTGTTTGGTTTCTGAATAGTTAGGCTATTCCTTCTTCCACCCAGAAGTGTGGTGTTCCAGAGAGCACAGGCATTAGAACAGTTATAACTTATCAAATCAATCAAATCTTTATTACAATCATTGACCAGCATATAGTTATAACTTATTGAACCATGGAGCAGGGAGCTCCAAACTGAGTAACACTCTCTCTAGGAGAGCTCCGGATTACTAGTACTTCCTTGCATATTTTTTCCCCAAATTCTTTCAAATACAACCCAGAGAATAGATGATATAAAAGAACAATACATTAACTAAAAACAAGGACTCTAAAATCTATCATCTCATCTACACATTCAGGTCTTAGAAACTGACTTCCATTGCCATCTATTTTCAGATGTCCATTCCACAAATAGATTTGTGAGGAAATACAAAATCTAGATGCACCACCACAGAAGCCCTTCACTCATCATCGAAAGCATATTTCCAAGCCTTACTTTCCTGATGGTATAACTATGTAAACTATTAAATACAAATTGTTTAAATCAAATTGTTAAATTTAATTGAGGCACAGCCTGATACTCTGTGTCAGTCTTCTCAAGAAGGGATATGTGCACATGCATGTTTATCTGTGTGGGGCTAACTCATCTTCCATACCATCTTTGAGCCATACTGGACCTAAAATGTTTACATTCCATAAAGCAGCTTTGGGAATTATATTCTATTGAATGTTCTTCAGATTCTAAACACTGACTTTTCCCACACAGAATACAAATTTGTAGTTCAAAAATTCACTTCCAGTTATTCCTCTCCCCTAAGAAGGAGTAAATGAGAGAGAGAAAATATCATCTGATTAAATGTTTTATTTTTGTATCAGATGAGAAGAACCCACCCTACTCTAAGGCTTGCTCTATCTCTCTGATTTTGGCGGCTTGACAGGCAGGCTAAGAATGGCTGATCATGAGATCCCATGGGATACAAATTTAAAAAATAATTCTTTTAGCACATGTAATTCAATCTTTTCAAATATGTGTTACTGATGTGCTACTTTCTGCTGTTACTGACTCTGTTGTTGATTAATCTATCAGAATATCCTCCTTCAATCAAGAAGAAATCTTCAGGTAAAAGTCAATGTTCCTTTTCCTAAGAAAGATAATGAATCTACTAAAATATTTTATGTAATAAGTTGCTCATCAAGGACTTGGTTGCCTCTAAGGTCCAGCCCTTTGTAATATCCAAGTAAACTAGCCAATGTGTTTTAGAAATTTTGATGAGATATAAAACCTACTGTCACTGATAAAGTTTTAATTTCTAATATGAGAAAAACCTTTGATCTCTGGAGGTGCCTTCTCTCTGCAACTATTGACCTTTCCAGTTTGATACTTTTCTAATCTCCAGGCTGCAGCTTTGTTATATGGAGCATTAAAATGGATTTCTTGAGCTAGGGCAATGTTTTGTAGTTCTTTTTCTTCTAACTGTAGTGTGACATAGCCCCTTCCAGGATGATTTTCAGCCGCTGCCTGAGACAGATATAAAGAGCTGAAACAGATTAAGATTAAGCATCTCAAAACCCAGAAGAAAATAACATGCAAAATGAAGCAACTCTTAGAAGTTACACAAAAGGATGCACATGAAAAAGATTGTGTCTTCTGAAATATATATCAACTCAATCATTTTGTGAAATAGTACTGGTGCTTATGTTTATGCTATATTTGGGTATGAAAAAATTGACTTGTTGCTATGCTTCTGAGCTTCCAGGAACTCCTGGGAAATGTATGTTTCTTTTCTATTTTTATGAGCAGATTTTCCATATTTCATTTTTAGATAAGTGGATTCTTAAAGTATTGATAAACATTAAAAAATCCTTTATAGCATTCAGGTGTTTTTCACTTACTAACAAAGCAGAATCATAAAAATGATTATTCAAAGGCTTAATATATTAAGAGCTAGATGTTACCATTTGGGTACAACCCATTTAAAAATGTGAAACAATTATGACTTCTGAATAAACTATTGGTTGCATTTGCACTAATAAACTATCATTTCTAAAATAAGAAGCATTCTTCTGTCTTTTTTAGATTATATGTAAGTGTCATGGCAGGCTTTATCTCAGAAGGAGGCATTCCAACCTGCCAATATGAGAGAGAGGGAATTTACCTTTTGTAGGTTTACTTTAATAATTATTTCTATTATAAATTATACAAAATTTATTGCTCAGTTAACTAGAGTGTACCTTTTTATTTGATTAAACTAAATCCACTAAATAGTATTTGGATCCAAACTTGCAATCTAAAATTGCAAGGGAGAATGATAAAAATATTAACTAAAATGAAGACTAGAGAGAATAATCTTATAAAGCATATGTACAATCATATACCTGACTGCTCCATATTAAACTTGATAAGATTCTATGAAGGAAGAATGCATGGCATTACAGTTTCAGAAATTGTTGATAACAAAGGCAAGTTTTTCCTACCTAGGGTGACTGTCCAGTTGGATGAGTGATGCTACAAATAAGAGGGAAAAAAGCAATATATAATTGAAAATAAAGGTCTTCATTTATTACACAGATTTCAATCATATTTCTTATGTTAAGAATGAAAATCATTATTCTCTTCTCTTGTAGAAAACCACATTAATATTTTAGATTATTAATGTGGTTTTCTACAAGAGAAGTATCAGCCTTACCAGGTAGACCAAACAGGACACAAGACCAAATAAGCTAATTCTATTTTATTGTAAAGCTACATTAACAGAATCTTGCAAGTCTGAAAGTACATTTCTCCTGCCATCTCCTTTACAGCCTGAGAAACTAGGGAGGGTCCCTTCTGAGCCCTCCCACTATCCAGCTGTGGGCTATGCTGTCTCTTATCTGACCATTCCTTAGGCAGCATCTCTTCACTCTATCCCCCAAGGTCTTTCCCACATACCATTACATCAAGAGAATAATTCTGCTTATGTTCACATGTTCATTTGGATACTCACGATCAAGTAGTTAGCATCCCCCTTGTTTTAAGAAGTTTTAAATTCATAATATTATAAACCAACTTTTAACTGAGAATTTTAGATTCTATAATTAAAAATATAGTCAATAAATTTGCTTATTAATGATTTACAATGAAACAAAATTGGACTTGGCCTAAATAGCTCCTTCCAACTCTATGATTATATAAAATGCAAAATTTATGAAAAAAATGGGTCACAAAAATTGTGACTATCAACATTATTGTTGTGATATTTTGGATTATTGTTGAAGAACTCAAGCATTTAAGCAGATACATTTTTGTATTTGAAGTTGTATATTTATTGAATTACAGGTAGTCCCCAGTTTAAGAATGAGTTCTGTTCCCAAGGTCTGTCCTTAAGTCAAATTTGTATGTAAGCTGGAACAGTATTATGTATAATACTGTATAAGTAATATTGTGTATTTAACTCAAATCATTGTGTATTTCACTTGAATTTTATTTAAGCAGATACATTTTTGTATTTGAAGTTGTATATTTATTGAATTACAGGTAGTCCCCAGTTTAAGAATGAGTTCTGTTCCCAAGGTCTGTCCTTAAGTCAAATTTGTATGTAAGCTGGAACAGTATTATTTATAATACTGTATAAGTAATATTGTGTATTTAACTCAAATCATTGTGTATTTCACTTGAATTTTGCTACAATAGGCTCTGTTCTTAACTATGGGTCGTCCATAAATCAGGTGTTCTTAATCTGGGGACTGCCTGTATTCTGGAATTATATGGTATGTAATATTCAAGAACTGATGAACTGTTATTTTTTTCTGGTGTAACTTCTTTTTTATCTATATTTATATAATGGCTTTTAGCAATTGGCAGTGGTTTAGCAGATAAGCATCTTATATCTGAGGAAATAAGATGAAAGTTCAAAACCCTGCTTAGCCATTAAGCTGTACAGTGGGGCTTGGGCAAGTCTTAGCTTAGCGCACTTTACTGGATTGTTGTCTGGACGAAATGTGACAATCCCCAAGCACTCCTATTAAATGTAAGATGATGTTTGATGGTCTCTAATATCTCCAAAAAATGTATATTATCTTAATCAGTATGTCACTTGGACACTGATTTTTAGTAATATGAATTAGCCTTCCCAGTCTAAGAACCAGTTAACAGAGTTGTAGCCCCAACACATCTGAAGGGTGCCAGGGTAGGGAAGGCTGCTATAACTAGCCCTAATTACCAGCAGATCTGGCTATAAAAGGAAATTACCATATAAGAGTTGCTATACCTGCATGGTTAATCCCCTCTTACTATGTAAGCCCTCCTTCCTCCCCCACTTCACAATGCTGTGCTACAGTACTTACTTTTTCGATGGATGCTTGCTTCCCTCTTCATATTTTCCACTCTAGGAAGCCGACAACCAGTAAGTGCACCATTTCTTCTTGGTGTATTGCATGTTTGGTTAAGGACATTGGGAGGTAGGAAAAGTCTCTGGGAAATGATGTGCTTAAAAGGCTGTGTTAGATCCCATCCAACATCTGTTTATATGAAAGACCAAACCCAGACATAGTGCTATAATACAATCTTGACATGATAAAGGACTGTATCAAATATAATTAAGGAACCTATCTAGCACTTACATGCCTGGATTTACCTTCTCGTATATACATCCTTATAAACTAGAAAATGCTGAAAGAGTGTACATTTATGTACAATTGAGTGAACCGACATATGTAACTAAACTGTGAAAACTAAGATAATGCAAAATCACTTAAATGAATTTATTTTGTAAAGTGCTATTACTACATATTTCATTTTTTTCTCATAATCTCAAAAGCTGAAAGCATAATTACTTTATCAAGAATTCCCCCCCCCCCAAAATCTCAAGGGTCTTCAGAAACCTTAAGGATCTTCAGAATTATAAATACAGTTATGGTAAATATCAACTTGATTTTGTAAGCCTGTCCTTGGCCCTTAAGAATGGCAGGGAACACTTTTCACCTCTTTCACACCACATTCCACTTCTACCCTCAGACAAGAGAAGAGAATTTTTACCTGAAAGACTGCTATGGGCAATTTTGCTCTCAGCATTTAGGGATTATATTTCATTTGGACATTTTATGTGTGCTTGTCTTCTGTAACAGTATTTACTCTTGAGTAATTTTCTATAGTATTTAATTTGTTTTATGTTCACACTTCAATCTAATTCTTAATTTATCAATGGAAACTGAGGAACACAGTCCATTTCCACTGTATAAAATGCAGAATTACACAATTTAGTCTTAAAAACTGTAACTTCATGCATATGTTCTAGGACAAGCATTACTGAACTCAGAAACACAAACTTTCTGACAACTTATATAAATCAGATTGCAAATATATATTTCACAGTCATAATTTCACTATACTGTACTGCCTATAAATGTTCTGTAAATGTACTCACTTAATCCTTGCTCAGGAAAATAATGACTCAGATACTGAATCGCATATTTACTTGGCACATTTGGCACAGAATCTGAGAAAAGGAAATTAAAGACATGAAAGACTATAATAGATTTGTTGTGGCCATAGACATTCATGATGATAAAAATGATATCACGTCTCTTGTACTTGTATCCCAGTATTGGAGGTAAACATGAGTCACAAGTGTGTTGGGACGTCATTACACACATTTCATCCCTTTTCTCACCATCACAGAAGTCTATGACTGTTGCTTTTACCTATATTGATAAATTATAGATAATTTATAGATAAAGAATTATAGATAAACGAGCAACTTTGTTAACTGGCAAAGATTACTAATACTAACATAGTATGATATATGACTGAGACCAGTGGATGTATCCTTTATTGTAATGATAACGTTTATGCTGCTGTATAGCAAAACAGTAAATATCCTCAACTTCTCCCAGCTTATCCTCCTTCCAACATAACTTCATGCATCTAAAGCATACTAAAGAATAAACCAAATAACAGATTTCAAGACATGCTTATCAAGAGTTTTCCAGAATTTGAATGTATCCAGAATCTCAAACATATCTATAAACACTCTGTGTTTATCTATCAGGAAATTATATGGCAGGTTGTTTATTATAAAGTGTAAGAAGAACTTTTTGTAATCTTTGTTCAGACTCTGAAAGAAGCAATCTAATCTGAGAATAGATTCCAGTTGTTCTGTAATCCTTGCAGGCAGTTGTGTTGGATGGGAATATAAAAGTGAGAGCTGAATGTCCAAGGCAAATGAAACACCAGCTCCCTCCATACACACTGATTTTTAAAAAATTGTCCAGTGCCAGTATAGTGTTATAACACATGATGTGTTTATAGATATTTTGTCACAAAACACAATTTTCTCCTTCCTCTCACAGTAGGATTAAATCTGCAAAGAAGGTAGGGCTCTAAAAAGGCTTTAAAAATTAATCTTTTTCAACTGGCATTTAACTATTCCTGGTTGTGTATTTTAAATTTTTAATGTCTTAAACCAGCAAGTAAAATTTTCATTTTATTGTAGGTTTTTTTGTTTTTAATATATTTGACTTTTCTACATCACTTAGATACTCTGGTAGTGGATGATTTAGTATCCAATCGCTCACCCATTCACTCAAATTAAGTTGTAACTAAATTTATAACCCCCGTCAAACTGTAGTAAAGATAAATGTTGGTCACCAGTGCATATATTTGCTACTTCATAGCTAAAATAAACTACAGAAAATGGTAGGACATTATACAAGGCTGGGAAGATTATATGACATCTAGAATGCACCTTATCTAGACTGCACCATATAAATATGTGATAAAAACCCATCAAGATTTCCAAGCTGATATTTTTTTTCTTACCTTTTTTAGAGGGGAAAGCCTTTTCATCCAGTTTACCTTTTAAAATGGGGTTAGTTTCTTTAAACAGTTCATGAACCCCTGCTAAGGTCTTTGACTATTAGAGAAAATAGAGACAAACGCATTGTTATTAATCTTCCACAATTCTGAACTCCCACATTTCTTTCTTCATATGTAAAGACTAATTAGAATCTGTGATAAGTGGTTTTATGGTACAGGCTGTAAGTAGTTTGAGTATGGTAAATGTTGCTACATCTTCCCCCATTATGTTTGACCATAATTCCCAGTGGATTAGGGAAGCTGAAGGCTAACACATCTGAAGGGCACCAGGCTGGGGAAGACTGGCTTAAAGAATGGAACACTTATAGATGAAATCCTTCCTTCCGTACATAAAGTCAACATTTTTAAAGCAATAATCTCACAGTAACTGTGGTTGCATTTATTTTATTTTTAATCAGACATAATTGAGTTAAACAATCCACAAAATTATAAAAAGTAATCTTAGTACATGCATACCCACATACCATGCTATTTCTTTTTGGAATAAAGAACATTAATCAGAGAACACAAAAGGAGTAAGAAATACTAAGGCAAAGAAACTGAAGGCATGAGAAAAGGAAAAAAAAAAGAAGCTAAATCTAGTTTATACCAACACCATACACTAAGTCTAGTTTATAGCAATGCCATCACACCTTTCTATCCTTGCAAACTCCTCAATACATTCACTCTTCTTTTACATATTTGTTTTGCAATTTGATTTTTATACACTCTCTCTATATGATCAAATCACCTGAACACACTTTTTGCATACTGATTGTTTTTATATTTGATCCATATTCATTCATTTAGCTCCCATTCTTTCCTGAACTCTTCTTGTGTTACCCTACCCACAGTAAATACTCCATTTCCAGTGCATTCAATTTACTTTTATGTTCCTCCAAGTATAACCAACTTTTACTTTTGTGCAACAAAATGGGCAGAAGCAGAATCTTAAACATAACCATTTCCCCTTCTTTTGCAATAGACCACATTACTTGCAATAAATCACACAAATGACTATATGCTAGTTACTGTCTTTCCTTGCAATAGACCATATACTAGCAAATATCTTCCTACCAGCATTTGCACAGCTTTACATTTCTCAATCTGTTTCCCCAACTTTAGTAAATATTCTATAAGGTCACATATATTCATATTGTTGCTCTGATTTTTCACTATTTATATATAACTTGCAATGCTTTGTTTCCCCTGTCAAACACTACTGATTTGATACATTAATTTTCAGAACCATATAATCAGTTCAACATTCACTACGAATCATTTAGACTCTTAGCCATCACCTACATATACATTCATGTCCACAACCAACACACTTCTAAGTCACCTTAAGCATTTCTTACATACTTATCCAAAGAACTAGGGGAATCTGGGAAGTTTCAAGAAGTCCTTAAATTGTATAAATAAATCACATCGATCAATCACACATTTTTCTCTTACTCCACCTTCAGTATTGAAACATTTGCTAAACATTCCATTTATTCTTTTGTATGCTTTACTTTCATCATATACAATTCTTACCACATTTAGCAACCAACCTTCAGTACCATATGTATCAAAACATTCCATAATGATTCAAGCCTATTCATATCATTCACTTTCATTACATTTATTTATTTATTCAAATTTGTTATAGCCACCCAACTCCAGGAGAGCGAGCAGTGTACAAAACCCCAAAATCCATAAAAACAGATAAAACATAAAGCCACACAGACAGCCCAGACTAAAACAATCTTAAAAGTAGCACAACTCAAACACCCCCCACCTCCACAAATACAATAATACTTTAACCCCATGCCTGGGACCAAAGCCAGGTTTTAAGAGCTTTCCGGAACCCTAGGAGAGAGCGTTCTGTTCTTATCTCTGCAGGGATGCTGTTCCAGAGGGTGGGGGCGGCAACAGAGGGCATGCTTCCTCTGTTCTGCAAGATGACAACATTTAACAGAAGGGACCTGGAGTGCACCCACTCTGCCAGAATGTACCGGGCAGGTAAAAATTATTGGAGACAAGCGGTCCTTCACATATCCAGGCCCTATGCCATACAGAGCTTTATAGGTAATAACCAGCACCCTGAATTGCAATTGGAAGCTGATTGGTAACCAATGCAGCTCACAGAGCAGTGGTGACACATGGGCATACCAAAAGTCACCCATTACTGCTTGCGCTGCTGCATTTTGAAACAGATGTAGCTTCCAGGTGGTGCCAGATGTTGGGATCGCTCTCATACAGCATTCCCAGTGTCACTGAGAGTGGCCCACCCCCAGATTCCCACCATATCTCTCTCTGCCCATCACTATACCAATAATGCCCCCTACCCTCATATCTCCCCCCAGTCCATCGTCCCCCTGGGTTCCTTTGCCCCAGGTCCATCCTGTCTGTATCTCCCACCCCACAATTGAATCTCTATCTACATCAAACATCAAACACCAACCACAAACACAGAAACACCCACTCCCATCGCATCAGCCTCCATCTCCCCACGGTCCTCACCAGCTGTTCTGACCTAGATACACTGCAGTTGTGAAGCACCTAGGCACAAGGGGGCCCTCAGTCAACCCTCTAACATCCCCCCCCAATTCAGACAGGCAATCAATACCAAACCTTCCAACATCGGGGGGGGGCAGAGGGGTCATATGGCAAATCCTTCCAACACTAGGCTTTATTTGGCCTCCAGTCCTCATGGCCAGGCCCTGCTGGTTCGTTGCTCCAGTTATACTGCCCTCTTCAACAGCAGCGCCACCACCACCAGCTGACCTTGGGGCTGCACCAACTAGCCGATCCCTGGTGTCCTTAGTCCTTCCTCCGCTATAGCACTTTGGTCCCAAACTATGGCCTGCCAGCCCAGCCCCATGCAGCCACCATCATTATCCATCGCTCCTCTATCAGTGGGGGCCTGGCAGCTGCACAAATGGTCCAAGAGTAGCTTCAGGGCACCACCTCACTGCAAGGAGCTCCTGGTGTGTTGCAGTTACAAGTGAGTAAACTCAACAAACCATATAAAACGTTCATATTGAACCACCCAATAATCAGAGTCCACCAACAGACAGCATTACAACTATAAGAACAGAAAAGCAACATAAAAAAGAACTACAAGAATTTAAAAAACAACATAAAAAACAGCACAGCCCAACTTCCTTTCTCGCATTTCTACATTTCTTAATGACCTGTTGAAATGCAAAAATCTGGTCTACAGACCCCCTCCATGGCATAAGGTGCACTGTACTTCCCAAATTTTGCTCACTGTACCTTTTCAATCAGAATTCTGCCAAAAACCTTCCCAAACATGCTAACCCCCTGTAGTTTTTGCATTCACTCTTGCTATTTTTGTCTTTGTACTGTAGAGGGGAATGATAATGACACTTTTCCAATTAACAGGCACAGATGCAATCTTTACACACATTAAACAATTCCTATAGCAACTCCATTTATGATGAAGTCAGGAATTGGAAGTGCAGAATTAGCTCTACAATATTCTTCTATTTCAGTAATTTAAATATATATTTTAAACATCAGCAATAACTTAAATGGTGCACTGTATTAATTAATATTCCCAAATGGCAATTCAAATTCTACTTATACCGTATAACAATATATTTAAAAGTATATATTAAAAAAAGACAGTATTCTCTTATTTATGTTGCAAAATTTATTCTAGTAAGGTCACAGCCAAACCTTTTTTGTATTTGTTGTTCTGGAGAAAGTCTCTATATTCTGCTTGGTAATTTCATACTTTTCTCTTTCCATGTTTTGAAGCTCCATCAGTTTTAATTTCTGAAAAACCTGAGTCTGTGGAGAAAGTTAAATGGATAACATTTATTTTTTACTTAATGTACATAACTATGTACCCTGTTAACAGAAGGAAGCCTGAGGTGAAAGATGACTTCACATGAAGTATAAGACAAAACTCAATTGTAAATGCTTATGGCAGTCTTTGCCAATCTGGATGTAATGTTATGTTCAGTGCCTCAAAGAGTTTCCCTTTCTGGACACCTGAATATTGTTCTCTTACAAGTTAAAATAATGGCTTCTTTGTCAGTTCATGTAGAGGCTGTAGTTAAGAGGCTGAGATTCCTGCCTTAGCAAGCTGGGAGATAAAATGGCTTCTGAAAATGAAAACAATCCAGTTATTGAGATTTCTGTAACCTAATCCCTTTTCCATGTCAATAAATCTGGTTAAAGAAACTTCTGTGAAAATCTTGCTTTTGGGTATAATTGGCTGTCAAGACTTAAAACTGATATTCTCTAGAAATTTAGACTACAACATCAGTAATTTGTACCAGCATGGCCATGCTTATTAGGAATTACTGAAGTTATAGACTAACACAGCTGGAGAGCACTCACTGGGGAAGGCTAGTTTAATAAGCAATCCTTATTCAATTCTAATTATATGCTCTGGATAAGTGTATTTCTCCAGTGCATCAGAAGAGACATCAAGTCAATGCAGTATACATGAAAACTGTAATATTGATATGGAAAAAGATGCACATCTTCAATGGTAACATTCAAAAATGTCTTTAGCTGAAGTGAAGACTCTGTATTTTGTAATTATAAAAAGTATTATAATATGATTTACAGTTATAAATAGTATTTCCCTAAAAGTAATTAACTTATTCAAAAATAGTTCATTTCTGTATTAGTGACTTATAGAAACTTCATAGACTTACCCAGCCAGTTTTGAAATTATATCAAGGCTACTTCATTATGGTCATGCTGTCATATTGGCACAATGATGGTTGGATAAATTACTAGTTATATTTTTCATTGGTTTAATTACTGAAGGGCAATTGAAAACATTTCAGAAAAACTTTAAAGAAAATAAGAAGTTTACATTTGATATTGGTATACATGGAAAGAGATGCACAGCAAAATAAAATGAAGAGGAAAGTGTAACTGGCTAGGATGACTTATTACAAACAAAAGGTTTGCTATAACTAAATTATTTCATTATTTTTTGTAGAATCAAAATCTAATTGCACCAGATCATTGAGCTCTATAATTAGAATTTAACAATACACTAAAATCCTTACATTTTTAATTATTTGTTCTTGGCTCTTGGAATCTCTATGAGAAGGGTCTTCTGGTTTTTTGGATTCATTCTAAATAAGAAGAAAGTAATTACTACAGGGAACAATCACTCAAGATATTATAGAACTGTTACCAGATTTTCAAGAACCTCGTGTTTCTCTTCCATTCCTATTTCCACAGAAGAACAAAACATCCAGGATATAACTTTTCTAATGGATTATTGTATATCCCATAATAGGAAGATACTGTATTTAAATTTATAAGTATGTTTGTTTTTTTTAAAAAATAAGGTAAATTGCCCCTGCCTAAGACCTCTCCTGATCTTATGGTGGAGAGAATTTTGTAAGCCAAATAACAAGTCCACAATCCTGGCAATACTCAGTGCTAATACTGTACTTCTTCATGGAATGGTTCATTTACTGGGCTAATAAATAGTCTGAACTAATCTTACAGACCTTTCTAAACTACATACATATTGTTTATTCTTCCAATTTCTTGCTATTTTTACATATAATGCAGAAATATAAATATCTATATTATACAGAAAGATTAAAAAAAGTTGGAAGACCAAGAAAGCCATGGTTGGATAGAATTGAGGAGATCTTACAAAAGAGAGGTGAGAAATCTGTTACTACTGAAATTCTCATGTCTGTCTATTTGTAACCTTCAGTTGGGCAAAATGGTGCATCATAGGGCAACAATATTTCAACCAAAAATTTCTCAAATGGGCTCATTTATAGAATGCATCCAAAATCTGAGACTCATTACTCCCTTGGGATTGAAATTTGGCAAAGTTGTGGCTGCTTCAGAGCCACCGTGGTCAGCTGAGGGCACGTGATAATCATTTTCAACGCTCCCAGACAGCTTCCCACAAGCAAAATCAGTGGGGAAGCTGGCAGCAAGTTGCAAGTCCAAGGCCAGCAGGTAGGTGACTGCTGCGGGGTGGGGAGGGAGTGAGAGGGTGTGCAAGAGGTGCAGCGAGGGTCAGGGAGGGTGCGCAGGGGTGCGCAAGAGGTGCGGTGCAGGTCAGGGAGGGTGTGAAGAGGTGCCCGAGAGGTGCAGCGAGGGTCAGGGAGGGTGCGCAGGGGTGCACAAGAGGTGCGGTGCAGGTCAGGGAGGGTGTGAAGAGGTGCCCGAGAGGTGCAGCGAGGGTCAGGGAGGGTGCAGCGCAGGGGTGCACAAGAGGTGCGGTGCAGGTCAGGGAGGGTGTGAAGAGGTG